CTTGCGAGGCACGCGGCGGAGCCACTGAGCTAAATCCCTGGCCTGGGAAGCTTTTACCATCTTCTCTGTAGCCCAGATTGCCCCTTAGGTAAGGGAGCTCAGAGTACTGGCTTGCAGAGGAGGAAAGACAAGACTTTGCAGGGCACTCCATAAAACAAAATATTAAACATTCTAAGCATCAGAAACATACTGAATAAGGTATGGGGTCCTTTCGTATCACACAGGTCACTAACTTGCGAACCCAGTATCTGGGAGAGAAATGTACAATGAGTAAGAGTCAACAAACACCGCAGACTGACAACTCAATAAACCATCCTCACATTCATGGACATCTAGATGCTCATATAATTTTAACGTAATTATCATCGTTTTCCACACTACAGATAGAATGAAAGCAACAGCGTGTGATGGCATCCCTGGAAAGTGAAGCCAGAAATTGTTCAGCTTTACTTCCTGAGTCTCTCCTGTTAGCACCTCTCTTCTCATCGGCAAAATAGAGACCTGACCTCCCCACCTGCTGGATTAGATAGGCCACTGGCTACAGGAAGAAGGCTGTGGGCATTGTGCTGATTCCTCTTTCTGCGTCAGGCCGGTTCTCAGCCTGGAGTCATGCCACCAGTGACATACAGAAGAAGCTATGTGACAGACTCCCTGGTCACTGCTCCCTGCCAGGTCTCTGAACACCTACAGGTGAGCACGCAGCACCAGAGGAGGTCAATATTCTGAAGGAAACTGAGGCCAGGTAAGGGCCCCCACTCACAGTTTGCAGGCATTTTGCACTGTTCTCCGTGTAAGTATTATGAATTTTTTGTTAGAGTAATTCGTGGATACTTTATATTTTAATGTTATTATTAATGGGCTCCCCCACATATATTTTGAGTAGTTATGTCTTAAAACCATTTTGACTGCAATACTCTTGAATTTGACTATATTATAAATTCTGTGTGTTCTACTTATTCCCAAAAGTTTTTATTTAAATCTGTTGGATTTTATAGGTGGATACTAAAATGGGCCAAAAAGTATATATCACTGCCTCCTTCTTTATAACTGTTGTATTGATGGTTTGTATTTTACTTGTAATGGTGTTCTTGGGGCATCCAGCCTCATGCTGAAGAGCAATGTCATATGGAGTGTCATTGTCTTGTTTCCAATTTTTACTGGAGTTCAAGTAAGTCTAGGCTGTGAGCTTCTGTAGAGGTTAGTATTTATTAGAGAAACAGATATAGCACAAGATATACAAATATATAGGAATTTATAAGATTAGCTTACAGTGGCCACCCACAGAGCCAGATGAGGAAGAGTGCGGAGGGTCTGTCTGCACACCGGAGACCAAAGGAATTAGTTGAAGGTCTGGAGCTCACTGCGATGTCTCATGCTAGAAACCAAGAGGAGACATCCAAGGTGAAGGTGAAGACTGGAGCTCCTCGGTGGGTCTGTCCTTCCTCATTTCCCCTTTATACTATCCAGGTGAGGAGCCCCCTAGGGTGTGGAATTGCTGAGCCAATTGAGTTAAGCTTCTCTTCACTAACCTTCTTAAACTGACACCATGAGTCAACAATCACAGCTTCTCTCTCGCTGCTCTGCATCGGTGAACTCACCTGCCGCATGACTGTGAAGACGCATGGACCGCACTCCAGCTCAGCTCCTGTTCTGGGCTGGGGATCCCCGTGTCCAGCTTCTCCTGAAGCCTCTGCCCTGCTGTCTAACAGGCAGCAGAAACCGCACATGCCCAAGCTGAGCTCTAGCCTCTGGTTCCCCTGTGCGTTCTGACCACCTCTAGAGGCCCCTTTTGTGTAGACGGCAACTGCTCCTACTGACGGCCTTTCCTCTCACCTCCCTCCCACAACTAACAGTCAGCAGGTCCCTTTAGCTCCACCTCGGAACGCAGCAAGAGCTCCTTCACTCTTCACCTCCCCACTGCCATGGGCACTTCTCGCCGGGGTGACGACTGCACTTCAGTTCTTTCCTCATGGCCCCATATTGCCCCTGCTCCCTGACCAGTCCATAATCATCAAAACTACATAATCTACCACCTGCCTCGCAAGCGCAACGTCCTGAGTTCGATCCCTGGTCCCAACACAAACAATAAACAAACTACCTAATCTACTTCGAGGCCCAAACTGGTGCTTCCTGTCATCTCCTCCCTCAACTCCAGACTGCTGCCTCCCCAGTTTTGCTGTTCCCTATACCAGGGATGCTTTTCTCCAAATAGCTCAGGTTTTTTCATCACCTCATGTCCTTGTTTAAATGTTGTCTTTGTCACCAGGCCTGTTCTATCCACCTCATTTAAAATTGTAGCCCATCCCCATCTCTTTGAGTTTTTCAAAATTGTTTCTTGAATGAGGCTGTTATCATCCTCTCATGTATGTAACAGATTAAAGATGGCTTTGTCTTTGCCATTTCTCCCATCTAGAAAGCAGTCTGTCTCTCTACTTCACCGAGTCCGGGTTGGGTCTGAGGTACTATAACCAGTAAATTACGGCAGAAGTGACACTGTGCCCCTTCCAGGCCAAATCTTTGAATGGATGGGTGGCTTTGTTTTGTTCCTCCTGTGAAGCTTGCTATTGGGATGTTTGGTGCTGGAAATGAGCCACCATTCTGTGAAAAGCGCAAGCTCACGGAGAAGCCACACCTATGAGTTCCATTCCTTGATCCCAGCTGAGGTCCCAGTGGTCAACCAGCATCAATGGGCAGGCATACTGCTGAGCTGCTGGAACATTCCAATCCCAATGGGTCTCAGACACCTGCAGTGCCAGCTGGAGCAGGAGAATTGCACAGCTGAGCCCAGCTGACCCACAGAATCGCCACTTGGTAATAACTTTGCTTCTTGAAGCCACTGCATTTGGAAGTGTTTGTTATGCAGCAATAGATAACTAATAAAGCCCTAAGCAATTTACTTATTTATGTTTATTGTACATTATCTGGTCCCTGAGACACTCATCCCCCCAGTACATATGTCATAGCTAGAATGTAATCCCCACAGGGCAGAGGTCTTTGTTTTGTTTATTGATGTTCCTGTGGCTGAATATGAAATGAATAGTTAAGCAGTTAGTTTGAACTATTTTCTTGTTGCTCTAATGAAGGGTCCTTAAAATTATAGTTTTCTCTGCTTTTAAAAAAAACTATGATTTAATATCCTTGCTTTGGAATTTATCAGGATATCAATATTCCATTTTATTGACATGGGATACTATGTTAATATATTTTAAAATCTTGTATTTCTAGTTTATAGCTAATTTAAGTTCAGAAATTACACTTTTAGTGAGCTACATAATTTGAGCCTTTTTGGAGGATCTGTCAATTTAAATTCTTTAAAAAGGGGGATTTATATTTATTTTCTTATTTAAAAGTATTTTCTTGGGGCTGGGGATTTGACTTAGTGTTTCTGCTGCCTGCCTTGTACGCACAAGGTCCCAACTTCGATCCCTGGTACAAAAAAAAAAAAAAAAAAAAAAAAAAAGTAAAAGTATTTTCTTTCTAGATTTACATGCTTCATAAAATGAAGTGAATTGATTTCATTTATTGCTATAGAGTGAAAAAGTAATACATACAGCTCTGGAATTATAATAATTATATGAAAGATAAGAAAAAGAACAAAAGCTCAAATAACTTTCCCGAAGTCCGATTACCAGGGAAAAGAAGGAATGGATGGAATTTAGATATTTCTTTGAAGAAGTTGTTCTGGGAATGAGCTCTTCCTAAAATATGATTTTTAAGAAATGCCAAAGACACACCCGCTGTCAAAACATTACAGAATGGAGCCCATTTCATTCAAGGCGTTGTACAGACACAGCCCAAATTGGGTTGGAGGAGAAAGGCTTTGCTTGACAGTGGCTGGCACTGTCTTTCTGGCTGCAGAGTGAGCAACAGCAGAGCTGCCTCTGTACCTGCTACTTCTGCCAGGAGGCTGTCTCTCCTGGGACGAGGTGAGGTGGTGGGTGGGAGGCACCCAGTTGTGAAGCTGACCACTGCAAAACCTTGGGGAAATCAGTGTGTACACGGCTGTCTTCCTCAGCTGTACACGGCAGTGATGATGGCACCTGCCCCGGGATGAAAGCAAACTGGTCCATGCAGCATGCTCAGTCCAGAATGATCCTCAGGGTGGAGTCCCAGTCAGGATAACACCACCTGATGATGGCTCTGTCCTCCCACAGCCTGCTGGACAGGTTAGTGCTAAAGGTGAACAGGGTTGGATCTTAGAGTCCTTGATAGTTGAATGAACCCTTAAATTTTCTGACTAGAGATAAAAGTGCATGTGAATCCAGGCTTCAAAATTCATCCAGAAGATTTTCATTCTGAGTATGCTAAGAACCAGCAGCCCAGTAAGTACCTGACTCCCACTCCTGAGTGTCCATATTCTCATATACCTGTGTCACTTGAGCCTACTTCCTCACACCTCTGAATTTATAGCATGCACCCCATGCTGAGAAGCCCTACATGTAACCTCCTCAGACACTGGCTTAATCCCTTACAGCATCCTCTGCTGCTGCCTGACTTTCTTTCTGCTTTGTTTGCATTCCTTATTTTCAGTGGAGATAAGGTCACAGTGTCTGGAAGCCATCTTAAGTTCCCTGTGGGGGCTGAGAGCAGACACTTGGAGAGTTAGGCAGAGTGCTTACACATTACACCACATCTGCAAGTGGGGTGGTGAAACCAGCTGCTGTTCCTCCTTCCCGGAAGCCACCAGATCAGGTGAGTCCCTGCCTCATTTCTACTGCCTTGCTGTTGAGTTCACTTGCGCTAAGCAGAGTGCGGCCACTACAGATTCCTGCTGCTGCTTGGTTTCCCTCAAGTTTGATGAGGGATTTGGGCTGAGATGGATCCAGAGACCAGGGCCTGCTGACTGTATCCTCACGTTTGTCTTTTGGGTTTGGGGTCCTACTGTTCATCCCTGGATAAAGGATTTGTAGGTCAGATGAGATGTCTCCGGTGGTCCCTATTCACCTGTGAAGCCCAGCTGGAGACCACATGAGCTATGGTATTTTCTGAACATAGAGAAGCCCTAGAATTCAATCACTCCTTATGTCATGATTCTGCAGAGAAAGGGTAAAAGAGGGAGGGAGGGAGAGAGAGAAAACTGATGGACTGATTCATGTGATTACGGAGGCTGAACTATTCTGTGACTGCCATCTGCAAGCTGGAGACCCTGCAAAGCTGATGATGTAGCTGCGACCAAGTGCAAAGGTCTGAGAATCAGCAGAATCAACAATACAGGTCACAGCCCACAAGCAGGAGAAGACTGACTTCTCAGGTAAAGTAGGCAGGGAGCAAAAAGGGCCAATCCCGCCTTTATCTGCTTTTTTGTTCCATTCTAGCTTCCAGTGGAGTGGATGATGTCATTCACATTGGGGGTGGCATGCTCCTTCCCTCAGTCCCCCAATTCAAATGCCATTCTCTTCCAAAATGCCCTCAAAGTTACACCCAGAAAATAATATTCAGAGAATCCTGTGACCCAGCCATATATAAGAAAATGAACCATTGCACCTCACTTATAAACCCTTCCTTGAGATACTAGAGTCCTCCCTTTGATACTCTGTGGTTTGAAAACATCTAATGACTCCTGTTGGCCACAGAGTTAGCATTAATTGAATACAAATGTTCCAGTTAGATATTTAAAGCTGCGCATGGATCAGACTTATTATCTTTGTCCTACACACATTCCTGGTGGACTCAATGTCCCTTGGTTCATTCTACTCTAAGCCATTGTTAATCCAGGAGTCTGAGGATTAGACATTTAAGGTCCCTTGCTTCACTTGAAGTGAATTTAGGGAATTGCTTCCTATTAGCCAGGAATGTGATTTTTTTCCCCAGAATACAGTGACTTCATGCAACCCTTGTTATTCCTTTTACTTGGGAACAGATGTTACAAAGCCAGCCTTGTGGTCTCAAGGGTCATTGATGGCAGGTTCCCATAATTCTCTTCTCTGTCCCCTTGCTGCATGTAACCCACAGTGATCTTCACTGAGCACACTAGCAGGTAGAGCTTCAGGAACTCTCCTAAAACTCTTTGTGTACATCTTTCTAGAACACCAATGTTAAACCAGGCATGAATTGGGGATGGCTTTTTCTTAAACAAATTCTCCACCCAGAAGTCCGCTTTCCTCAAGATGGGATGTTTCCTCTATGGTGCTTCTTCCATTGGCAGACAGAAAGGAAATGCACTTGCAAGTTGTCCTGTGAAGTGACAGCCCTTTTGGTTTTAGAGGTCCTGGTGCATGATTCAGGCAGGGTTTGGGAGGATAGGGTCACAGTGAGATTTGGGGCTGTGGAATGCATCCAGGCCAGCTGGTGTAGAGGGCACGGCTCTGAGCTGGGTCTGCAGGAGACAAGCCCCCACCCGCATTTGAATGCTTGGATTCAACAGATGAGCCAGAATGGAGGTTGGGGCTGCGCTGGGGGTTGAGCACCACTGAATCAAACAGAGAATCCCAGCCCCTTCTGCCTCAGTGGGAACTCCTTCCTGGGTTCACTCTCTGTACTCAGGGTGAGTGCTCTGTGTCATCTGACAATTCATACTGTGGAATTACTATTGCTTAAATTTTCTGCCAACATTCTGTTGTAAAAATGTTCAGACACACTACGAGACTGAATAATTTTTGTAGAGAACACCATTTGTCACCACTTTGTTCCACAGAAGAGTCCTGCTGTAGAATGATTTGACTTGCAACCTTTCGACACACAGTGGTATGAGAGCGATGCTCATGCAGAAGCCATGCTTCTTTCACTTTCAAAGTTTGACCTTTTCCCAGGCCGGCAATGTGCTGTGTGATCCTCTCCCACAGTCCTGGGAAGTGGTGGTCACAGTCGCTGTGGCCCTAAGGATGAACAACTGATACTCTGCAACACAGCATATTGCTAAGCTGGGATATTTGGAGAGCTAGATGTAGCAAATACTTTTTTTTTTTTTTTTTTTTTTTTTT